GGACACAGTGTGCACATGACACACTCAGCCCCCATCTGGGCACACCTCAGTGACCCACCTTGGTAACACGTCATACTGTCTAAACAGTTACCCGGGCACCCGATGAGCACCAAGGCGCAGGCCACTGGTTCCACTCAAGAGTGAGATCAAGCCCCACCTTAATGCCCACCTGGCTTCTGCACAGCCAGGGGATCCTAACCAGATGCCAAATCACAAACCAATTTACAACTGAAACGTCAGCCTACCAGACAGGCAAGTCACAGGCTGTCACACAAAAGGCCAGCAGTTTGTAGGATCTTGGACCTAAACACACTTAACAAGCTGCCTCGTCTTCCAACCTGTCCCCAAGAGAAAGGTTTTCACAGCTGAGCCTTCTAAGAAGAACAAGGAACAGGGGCCCTGTCCTTTCCGACTGAGGGCTGCCATTCCGTCTCAGGGCGTCCTCCCCAGTGGTGGTACTGAGGGTTGGCGTCCTATCTCAGGACACCTTCCCTGGCAGCAGTGCCAAGGTTCGGCGTCCTGTGTTAGGGCGCCCTCCATGGCAGTGGTACCGAGTGTCAGTGACCCATCTCTAGCTGCTCTCTGCAGGAGTGGCACCAAGGGTCAGCATCCTGTCTCAGGGCGCCCTCCACGGCAGTAGTACTAAGGGTCAGCGTCTGCCTCAGTAGCCCCCTCCACAGTGGCACCAAGGGTCGGCATCCCGTCTCAGGGTGCCCTCCATGGGGGTGGTCCCACGGGTCGACATGTGTCTCGACAGCCCCCTCCACAGTGGCACCAAGGGTCGGCATCCCGCCTCAGGGCGCCCTCAATGGGGGTGGTCCCACGGGTTGACGTGTCTCGACAGCCCCCTCCACAGCAGTGGTGCCGAGGGTCGGCATCCCATCTCAGCTGGGTTTCCTCTCTTGACCCCAATAAAGGAGACCCAAGCATGCTTTCCAGTGCTTAATGGCCTTTTCAGTCCCAGGAGATCAGACTGTGACTGCCATGCCTGTCACTGCTAGTAATCATGATTACACGACCAAAGTGCAGCACACTCACAGCACTGTAGAGAAGTCTCAGAACGCAACCTGGGGCTGCAAAGCTGCCCCCATTGGCTAGTCGGGGAGGCCCCCTGTGGGAGGGTAGGGCACACAGCTGCAGGGTGGGGCGATGGTGGGCCAGGGCATAGAG